TTCTCTTACATTTACTTAAAAGTTAACCTTGCACTCTAAATCTCTGTATAGGGGAGGCTTAAAGGATGGAGAGAAGCACAGAGCTGTATTTGCATATTAGTTTACATATGACTTCTTATCAAAGCATGGAGTAGTTATAAATGAGATAACTGGAGTATTGTAGGGTTAATGCTCTCTCAAATTCTCCCATGGTTGCCACTACTATTCCTAAGCAATATCTGTAAAAATCAATGTAATAATCCATTAGTGATATATTTTTATAGTCATTAAAATAAAAATGTTTATACATCACCTACAATCTTGAATTGTACTAGGAATTATACATAGCATGCTTTAGAAGCTACTGTTGTAGAAGATTTAAGATATGTACAGAAATAGCTGACTTGAGAGAGAAAGTGCTAACAGCCATTAATTGCTGTGAGCAAGGTATAAACAAATCACAAAGATTCAATGAGAGAGAAATGAGTTCAAGGAACAAAAAATGTACTTATATCACACACGTGCTTACACTGAACAAATATGACAGGGCTTTGGCAAACTCTGCTTCCATGGACTCTGCCGAAAGCCATTATTAATGCTTCCTCACCTACCTCATCTTATCCCATAAAACATCTGTTTGTTTAAAAAGAAACTGTATACTAACTCTTCAACTACAAGTTAAAAATCATGACTTTTCTTTCAAGGGGAAGAAGAATGGAGAATAAACATGCCTTCTGCAATTTTACTAAAAAATTCCAATGTTAATTAAAACCATATATTTAGTATGGATAAAGGTAATAAATGGCGATGTCTTGGATAAAACCATGCTCCTCTGTGAATTCAAATTAGTGATGCTGTGTTACTGGCTGACTTTTGAACATTCTGTTCTATTTGAAACAGCTGAACCAGGAAGGAAGCCTGTATGTCCTACAGAAACCCAATTAGGCTTGATGAAAGAGAGGCCATGAAATGCTTTTCTTGTCTACCAAGACAGAGAAAATGTTGTGTTAGATTCAGCTTTGAAATGAATTCTAAATATAAGCTTTTAGATCAGGCTTTGTCCAGTTAGCTTGGTCAACTTAAGACAATATTACATTTGATGCTCTCACAATTGGGGATGATGGTCCTGCTCAAAATCCTGACAGGCTTCTAGAAAGCTGATCCTTTTTGTTCTGGTGATTGCCACAGGAATAAACAGAGGAGATGGCTCTAGCCTTGGAGTGATTGAAAGAGAACCTGACTTGCCCACTTCCTGCTAACCCTTCCCTACACCAGCAGTGTGGTCATGTTGGATGTTTCATTACCTTCTTACAACAGCAACAACATAAGAGAAGCCAGCTGCCAACACAGTCTGCTATTCCAACAGTTATTTGTCTGTCAACAGGAATACAGTCAGAATCTACAACTGAAATTCTAATAGTGATCCTCTCCCAAACTGAGATGTGGATAAATGTTTTCTTGTGCCTTGTCAGTATGAACCTCTTTTCAAAAGACTCTTGAGCATCTTTCTTTCCTCTGAACCCCCAATGCAGTTTACTGGGGCCACTTTTATGGGGCTATCTTTATAGCATTTAGCCCTTTTCTTTTTTGTGCCACAGTAATTTGTATGAAGGATTTAAATTCCTAAGGGTTGGTAATGTTTTTTCTTATTGTGCCATTCTCTTGAGCTTCTAGCACAGTGCCTTGATTTGCATTAGAAATCCAATAAATGTTTGATGAATTCTGTGTTTAGAAAAACAACAACAAAAACATGAATATTGTCCAATTACAACAAAAAAGTCAGAGATTTTTGCTTCATTTTGTTCAATGACGTGAGTCCCATGCACCTAGAAAGTTCTTGGCACACAACTGACACTCAATAAATATTTGCGGAATGAATAAGTATTATGACTTTCCAAAGAGCTTGGAGAGTATCTATTTGATTGGCAAATACAGAAAAGGAAATATGTCACATAATGTGTAAAGGAAGAAGTAGATTAGTGATTTCTTCTTCCTCTAGACCAGAGGTTGGAAAACATTTTCTATAGAGGGCCAGACAGTAAATATTTTAATCTTTGTGGGCCATATGGTTTCTGTAGCAACTATTCAACTCTACTGTTCAGTGCAAAAGCAGCCAAAGACAATATGTGAATAAATGAGTGTGGTTGTATTACAATAAAACTTTATTTACAAAAATAGTTGGCAGGCAAGATTGGACCCATGAGCAGTTTGCCAACCTCTGCTCTAGAGCACCTGTGTCTGTTAGAATTAAGATAACTAGGTAAATATTCTCTCCTTTAATACCATGCTTTCTGCATCTTTACACATTTGTTCCCCAACCACACACCCACAGGTACTGTGATTTGCAACATGGTAGCTGTACAATATATGTTTGTTGCATTAAACTGAGTTTTACACTGATTCCCTGGAACTGTAGTTTTCAGTAGAACCAGTTAACTCAAGTCCCTGTAATTTGCCTTTTCTTTGAATTCTGTCTTAGCAAATGTGGGGAAAGTTAATAGCTGCTGAAATAATGTCTTCTGAAACTGATGGAGTAAGGGGCACATTCTCTCTTGAGTTCCTGTTTCTCTTATTTGAAGCATTTTCTTCAGGATGTCAATGAGGTATCATAGCTGGCTCTTCTGATTATCCATGAAGACAAGAAATGACTAACACAACTTTCTCATTACTCATTTAAGCTCACTGTTCTTTTAAAGCTGCCTTCTCTCTCAGTCTTTTTAAAAAACTTATTTTCATGAAAGGAGTATGAGAAAATGACCACTGGTATCTACAATTGGCAAAAATGTGTTCCTATATTTTCCTCTCCAATGACTACCAAAAATGTTATATTCCTGCGAGTTTTACGTCAGATTACTATATTATTTCAGGCCGGAACCTGTGACATATGGTGATAGTAGATATATCCATTGCTGAAATGTATCCGTTTAAAAAATATTTAAGTAGTATTAATGTGGAACAACGCCAAAATAAAATGTGTTCTGCAGCTCTATCCTATATTTGCACTATCTACTTGCAAAATTTTCAAGCTTATTTTTCATTTTGCTAAGTGCTGGCCCCTCTTATGAACTAGGCCTGATTCCCTCTTCAGCTGCAAATGTAATTTTAAAAAGAACTCCAATGAGATTACTTGCTGAACATGTTAAACATTCATAGCTTTGCCATATGCTGTTATGGAAATTGCATTGATTTATAGCAATTTGGGTGCCACTAGATAGCACTGATTCACCTGATACCAACTCTAAGTGTACTGGAAAATAATGTTTTAAATGTTTCATTTGCATCTAGACCTCTGTTGAACTAAGAGGCATGTACTATGTTTATGCATTTTCGGAGAACACTGATTTTTACATATTGAAAATATATTCCTGTATTTGGTGACTTCTAGAAAAAATTAGGTATATAAGGTCTAAACTCATACTGTCATGGCACAGTGGTCAATGACGTAAATTACTAAAGCCAGGCAGACTTAGGTTTTAATCCTGATTCACCCATTTAATTACTCTACAGCCTTGCTTTCTTCAATGGTATAAAGGAAAAATAGTCATGCTTATCTGAGAGGATTGACGTGAATATTAAATATGATAATGTATATAAGGCATGTAACACCTACAAAAAGAGAAATGTCTTGTGGTTTGTTCTAAAATATGCTCAATAATCATTAGCTCTTGTAGCCTAAACTTTGTATTTCTGTTATAGATTAGCGGCACTCCTTTAAATGGTGGAGAAATGCTTGAGTTTGCAGGACCTGACTGGGAATGTTGGAAGATGATTTAGAGAACTTAAAAATTGCCATACGAGACAAGGTCACTACTATAGTGAATATACGGATCTATTAAAAACAAAGGTAAAAGGGAACAAAGTCACAGGATGTTCTCTTCACAGTAAGAGTATCAATAACCTGTCCTAATTGTGTTAATTTTTATTTGGAAGGGAGGAAGTATAATGCTCATTTTAAGCATGCTAAGAAGGACTTATGGAAATGAACACTGTCTTTATATCCACTGAGCATTCTATCCAATTACATTCAGAGGAGGAAAGACGCTTCTTAGAAATAATTATATTTCACAGTAATAAGTGAATATATACAGTGTAATGAATATTCATACATATTCAAGTTTGTAAGAACACAAAAAAGCCAGAAAACCCTTAGCTTTTTTTTTTGTAATTGACTTGGAGTGCACATTTGAATATAGATGGATTCTCTCTGGGTCAGCATTCTCAACAGAGGGCATCTTTGCCCTCCAGGGAACATTTGACAATGTCAGGAGACATTTTTGGATGTTACAACTTGAGATGGGAGATGTTACTGGCATCTAGTGCATACGTTTTAGGGATGCAACTAAATATACTGCAATGCATAAAACTGCCTCTACCACAATGAATTAACTGGCCCCAAATATCAAGAATGCCAAGGTTGAGAAACCCTGCTCTAAACTGAGAGCTGCCCAAGATCAAATGGATTTAAAATCACCCAGATCCCAGATGGATACTGGGTAGGCTCTAGAGAATGTATACTTTTTGTTAATATAGTTAAGTCTTCCCAGTGTCCTGTGCTGGCTCCATGGTAATGAAACAAAAGCTGAAGTATCAATACGGAGTTCATATCCCCTCTAGAAGAAAATGACTAGAATTCCAAAGTACAATATATTATCTGACCTACTGCAGACTTCAGTGTGGACAGCAGCTAGACTTATACATAGAAGAAGGCGAACATCACACTAAGACTTTGACCAAACAGTGACCAGGGGTTTCTTGGCTCTTAAGCAGCACCAGTTCCCGTGAACAAGTAACATATCAAGCAGTGATGGCATAGACTTAAGGCTTACTTCCCAGACAAAATGTGATAAGCACAAACTCTGGATTTTTATTCTCTATTTCCACAGAATTGAAAATCTATTTAATATATCAAGGAAAATATTTTCTTTCACAAGTGCCCTTACACAAACAGAGGCTGCTTAAGAGGTTGTAGCCTTAAACATGGATACTACTTAAAGACTAAAAATGTATATAAAGAACATTACTTTGAAACTTTTGGTTCTGTACTTGATGTCATCTTGGTGATGCTGAAGAGAATTTCTGCGAACTCTGTATTTAGAGTATCTTCCATCAGTTCTCTCAGATGAACTGCAGGAATCCTGGGGAAAAAAGCAAAGGGTCTGAACTGGTAGATGAAAGAAAATTGGTGCTTGAAATTAGAGTAAGAAAGAGTCTATATGTAGCTAAAAATGAAAATAAATAATTACAAAAATTTAGAGATATATAGGAGAATCACAGGCCACCATAGAGAAAGAAGGTTACATGCAGTGGCTCAAACCTGTAATCCCAGCACTTTAGGAGGCCAAGGTGGGAGGACTGCTCTACTCCAGGAGTTCAAGACCAGCCTGGGCAACATGATGAAACCTCACCTCTATAAAAAAATACAAAAACTAGTCAGATGTAGTGGTGCATGCCTGTAGTCCCAGCTACTCAGGAGGCTGAGGTGGGAGAAGGAGGATCGCTTGAGCCCAGGAGGCAGAGGTTGCAGTGAGATTGTGCTACTGCACTCCAGCCTGGGTGAAAGAGCAAGGCTCTGTCTTAAAAAAAAAAAAAAAAGAAAAGAAAAAGAAAAAGAAGAAAATTGTCACTGTGGATAAAACCATAAAAATACAATGCATCCTACAGTGGTTACCTGAATTCTTTTAACAACTAGTCCCTATGCCCATCTACAGTGACTGACACCCTTTAGAACAAGGTTCAAGCAGCAATGTACTGTCCAAAGATCTCATTAATGACACATGCCACATTTGGATGCTGTGTACTATCCCTTGGATTGGTACTTAGCGTCAATATATTCTTGTTTTAAAAAATTGCTACCTATAAAACTAGAGCCCTTTTACTTCACTTATCCATAAACAACATCCTACCTTTTAACTATTATGTCACGTACATTTTTAAATTTAAGGATAGCTCCTTTGCCTTTATAAACAGAAAAAGATTCAGGTAATAAAAAAAATTAAGAAAACAAAAATTTCCAGGGCCTGCCTTTTTTTCTTTCTTTTCTCTTCATTTCTTGTGGGAAGAAGGAAAAGGAACACAGCAAACAAGTTACTCTAGACAATTATTTAGACATTTCTATTATTATTTAGGGAGAAATTAGAAAAACAATGAGGATAACTGATTTTGGTATGTAAAAAAAAATACATATAGGGATTTAGTGTCCCTCAACGTCACAAGAAACCTTAAACTTACTGAATGTTCAAGCTAGAAGGGGTATTATAATTCCAAAGTTCTCATGCTTAGTACAAAAACAAAACAAAACACAAACCTCTAAAAACTAGAGCCCAGGGAAGTTAAAATGATTTGCCCAAGGCTGGACAATTTGTGGCAGTTTGGACTTGGAACTCAATGCTACTTCCTTTCCACCTAATCAAAAATGTAATGTTTAAATATGGAATTGTAGAGATAAAACAATTTTTTTTTGAGACAGAGTCTTACTCTGTCACCCAGGCTAGAGTGCAATGGTGTGATCTCAGCTCACTGCAACCTCTGCCTCCTGGGTTCAAGCAATTTTCCTGCCCCAGCCTCCTGAGTATCTGGGATTACAGGCATGTGCCACCACAACTGGCTAATTTTATATTTTTAGTAGAGATGGGGTTTTGCCATGTTGGTCAGGCTGGTCTTGAACTCCTGAACTCAGGTGGTCCGCCCACTTCAGCCTCCCAAAGTGCTGAGACTACAGGCGTGAGCCACCACGCCCGGCCAACAATTCTTTCAAAATAAATATGACCACATTTAAACAAGAATAAAGTCAGGCCATCCAAATAGGATAAGGTCTGTACTCATACTTAAAGTCATAGGATATGGTCTATGTATCAAGAAATACGTATATAGGAACCCAGAGATAATATTGTTCAAGTGCCTCGTCACATGAATGTGGACATATCTCCTGAGGCATTAAGTGATTTTTGTCTGGTGCATGAGTTTGGACCAGAACTTAGGTCTTTGTATTCTTGCTCACACCACACTGATTTTTAGAAAGTTTAAAGGGTTTGAATAAATATAATCTACATCTAATAATCTCAAGGCTTTATGTATTTCATTTAAGGCCATGTCTAGTCATATTTATTAAGTTGATTAAAATCAGCTCTTTGTAATCACATAGAGGACTTTAGAGTACATGTAGAATGGATTTTAAGCTAAAAGCAGCAGGGCGAAGCAGATGGGCTCTGCTGTTTTACACAGAATTAGATCCCACCTCCAGCTAGTTTATAGGCTCCAAGCTTCAGTGTCCTCATCTATAAAATGGGCGAAAATAATACCCATCTATAGGGTATCTCTGAAGATTAGGAAACATGTACCATAAAGTACTTAGCACCTGCTAAGTATCATGCAGTGTGTGCATAACACTTGCTAATTAAAATTAACTCTTTCCCTTTTCAAGCTAAAGGTTTCAATTTTAATATATTGGAAAGTACAATGCTGAACTCTGAAAAAGACCTTCCCCCAAAATTTCACTATTTAGGCATCTTCATATGTGAGTCTGTATGTATATGAGCTAGACTTGTAGATGATCACCAGCTCATAGGATTAAAAATAATAATAATTAGCCTTTTGGTAATAGTAGAGAATACAACTTTTAAACTGTACTTATGAACATTCAGGTCATTGTAGACAACTGGGGCAAAAGTGATCTGTCACTGGAGGTTACACTTTATATTTTTATGCTGGTATTAGACAGGTGTCTATTTCTCAGTGACGAGGGCCACCTGTTTCCCATACTTTCTCTTGTCTCCCCTTCATTTACTTGGATAATTTCTGTTAGCTACAGAGAAAAAACGAAAAGAATATGGATATAACATATTGCCTCCTAACACATCGGGTTGTTTAAGAGTAAACAGAAATTGCATTGTTTTGGATACTGGTTTCATAATTCTTTAATAGATATTTAAACTGCAAATATATAATCAAATCATGAGAAAGAATCAAAACTCAGTAAAATATATTTGAAACACTTGGTTTTGTTCAATTTGGGATAGTCTAGCTTTGTAGATGTGTCAGCTAAACTGGATCTCACTCAAAAATGTTAGTTACAGAACTACCAAAAGATGCTTAATGCAAGGTAATTTTAAGATAGTGTAGACCTTGGGAACCACATTTTATCAATGCTTCCAATAAATCAATATGGCATGATCTGGCTATTTTCCTATCCACTGTATCTTCAAATAATATGTCAGATCTAAACAGAATCTAAATATAACATAAGTTATATTTTAAGGTCAATGTGAAATATGATTACATGGTTGCCAAAAAGAAATCCTTCCCATTGTTAGCTTCAGCTATACACGGTCAATAAATTATAAATCATTAAAATTTTACATTGCATCTGCAGTCCTAAGGCTATATATGACATTCTTGGGACCAGACCTTGTCCGGCAGGACTGGCAACAGAGATATTTGTTTTGAGTATCTCCTCTATGAGGAATTTAAAAAATTACAGAAGGTAAATTAACACATGTAACAAATTGGCTTGATAATGAAATGCTTTGTGGTTAGAGGTCTATCAATAAATGGCCATGAAATATGAAATGTGAAATTTATGTGGGTTTGAGTTCATATGTCATAGTATAAAGATAACCTAGGAATTACCATATGTCTAAAACAAACAGTACCCATATAATTCACAAATTAAAATTGCTAATCAAAAAAGTTACCTACTGTCAGTGTAATGTGTAACTCCCTTTAATTCTTAGGCTTTTCTAAATTATTGTTAAAGCTTTAGGGGCCCAACTGAGCGTCTAGTAGTACAGTAAAAGTATCTTCCTATCTTGTGCTAATATATAAGTTGCACCTGTTTTCAATTCTAACTTCACAAATGTCAATAAACTCTGATAAGGTGGTATGTTAAAAGTCCCCAATGTTTTTTAGTCCTTCTTCCTTCACTATACTTTTCTTTGCACATCAGGAAGATGTCAAGTGTTCTCACTCAGATAAAATACTGAAAGAGACAAGCCAACTCTTTCTTACTCTGAAGTCTTTGAAATCTTCTAGTAGGCTCAGTTTCTCAGGCACAGACTCCAGATGGTCCAAGGCCACTCGGGTACTCTGAAATAGAAAACATAAGGAAACCAAACGTTATAAAAAATTGATTAATACTCTCAGAATCCACATACTAAAAGTCAGATGCACCACTGGAAGAAGCAGTTCAAGCTGTAGATTTAGACAGTCAAATAAGAACATATATAATAGTGTTTCCAAGATAAATGTATCTTTTGAAATCAGAAGAATTATTTCCTTTCAAAAACTATATGAGATGCATTTGCAAGACTGATTCAGATACAAAAATTCTTCCTGGATAATTGCTTTCAACTGATATGCTATGAAACTTTCTATAGACTATTTCATATTAATATTAATTTACAAACCTGCTTCAGTGAACATCAGAAATAAACCATGAGGTAATACTGAGAAATAGATGAATCTGCAGTTACTTATCTATGGAGCATACTAGAGATTCTCAAATGTTGCCATTATAAAGAAGAAAAGAGTTCTCGGCAATTATTTCAGTTAAAAGGGAAGGAGGAGTGGTTCTCAAGATTTGGAAGAAATATCTGAAATTAAACATTTGCTTCAGGGACACAAGATCCTGTGGATCATAAGTCAGTAACTTATTGCATAGTCTTTAATTAGCTGATCACTTACACCCACCTGTGAACATTAACAGAGAATGATCTGAAAATTATTTCAAAGCAAACATAAAATAAAAAGTTAAATGGTAAAATATTACTTTAAGACTAGAGACTGCATATATATTATAAGCATCTCTGTATTCTCAGTTCTGTCACAAGGCCACACATCTTAGGCGGGTAACAGGTGCTAGCTCTTACATTTAAAATGAATTTTAATTGTTCAGTGAAATAAACCATAAACCCTATGGCTGACACATGGGAAGAAAGTGATGTGTCCTGCAAGAATCTGGACATGAATTTACACAAAGTTGCAGAGAAGTAAGTGTCCCCTCAGTATTCCATGTACTTCCCTACTTCTCCCCTGTGAAAGTTCTAAACAATGGATTCTGAGAGTGTCACTTCTGGAATGAGACAGTTGAACCTGAGCGTTCCCCCTTCTATCCCAGCCCCTGCCATGAGGACCCTGATGGCCACATGCTCCAAAAGGCATAACTACAAGATTAACATGAGAGCTGCCCACCATATTGGATTTCATGTGAGTCACACAATAACCTCTATTGTGTTAAGCCATAAGATTTCAGGGTTAGTTATCAATGCATCATATAGCATTAATTATCATAAATAATACCTACCCTGAGAATTAAATAATGAAATTGTAAGCTAAATAAGTAGTCAACTGGCTCATTTTGTGGAATGGGGAGTCTCTCAATTAAGAATATGTATTTTTTTTTTTTTCCGGAGACAGGGTCTCACTCTGTTGTCCAGGCTAGAGTGCAAAGGCACATTCACAGCTCACTGCAGTCTCAACCTCCTGGGCTCAAGCGATCCTCCGACGTCAGCCTCTGAGGACCTGGGACTACCGGCATACACTACCATACCCAGATAATTCTTGTATATTTTTTTCTCGGGAGGAGTTCATTATTTTCTCAGTTAACTTTCCTATTTGAAATCTCCTATTTCCCCGAACAGAAAGATGCTGTTCTCTACCTGGCATATCCAATCCAGAGCCTCATTGATGCAGGTTCCCCCACAGCATATACTTTACGTCTTTCACAGGGTTCAGGGGTAGAGGCAGTTATGGAGACAGAGGGCTGAGGGTCTAACCCTTCCTTACAGACACTTTCAATGTACCCATCCACCCCCTCCTTCAACAGTAACTGTGCTGATTATTCCCATGCAAAAGCCTTTCCAGAATTTTGCAGGGTGAATGATCTTCGATTGCTTTCCATTGCTATCCTCTTGGCAGGTCCTTGAGTTTCACCTTGTCTGTTCCGAGTCATTTTACTACTTTTCAGTGTTCTGTGACTTGGAGTTACAGATGTCTTCTAGTTTTGACAAGTGTAAATCAGTTTTTCTATTGCTTCATATCCTTATTTTTGTAATTAGATTTTTGAGAAGGGCAGAAACACCTTAACTCTGCTATTCCGAAAAGGAAATCTGCGTGCTGTTTCTTCAGGTTCATAAAGTTCTCTTTCTCAAGTTCCATTTAAAGGATTTAGTATTTTGTTCCTTCTGCTTTAACATTTATATTATTGTTAGTCTTTAGGCCACATGTACTCACTCACACTGCTGTGCGTTTTAGATGACTTTATTTAATTTTTTCATGTGTAGGAAAGATTCACCAAAGTGATGTGTTTGTTACTATAGGCCACGACATGTAGGCTTAGGAGCTTGCAGTTTTAGCCACTGTATATGCTATATTTATTTAAACAATAAAATTATAGGTTTTCTCAGGAATTATACTGACCCTTGAACAATAAAATACAAAGCAATGCCCTGATGATTTTAAAGCAAAATTTTATGCATTGCATAAAATCGTCTTCATAAACACACTCCAATAATATCTGTAGTATTAAAACTTTATTTCCTTTTTTTGCCCCATATTTTTCTCATTTAGAAGTGATCTTCTGAAGCAAGGTTAAGTAAGTATGTAAAACTCATTTTGTGCTCAAAATAAGCAAATGATCTCTTGCCCTGCTGTAAAACGCAGCATGTTATGTAAATAGTTTTGCTTAAAATTTTCAATCAACCAGGTGACTACCTGAAACCATTCTTTTCCTTGCATGCGTTTACATACTATTTTTTGACTATTATGTTTTTGGATGTATATTCAAATGGCTATGTTTTTGTGAGTGAATTCTGAAAAACTCCTTAACTCCTTCTGTTCTCGGTGCAGTTATTTTTATTCTCCCCTCCCTTGCCTTCCCCCCCACCCCCATATCTCCATCAACCAATCTTTATACTTTCTCACTATTGATTTCACTTGTGGCTTATTTTATATTCCATTTATGCATTGCTTATAAATACCTTCCTCAATATCAGAAACACCTTCTGGTACACATACCTTTCTTTTCATCCTTATATTCTAGTCAATTAACAACAATGTCTATCTTCGAGATCATAGAAAGATCCACAAACATAGATGGCATGGTTCCTGTTCCTCAGGAGCATTTAGCTTACCCAGGGGAGCAAAGGATGTAATAATTATACAAAGAAAAAAGTTATTTGTACTTATTTTAAGGGAAATGCATGCACAAATGCTGAACTAACTAGGGCATTTTCAACAACAAGATAGATGTGAAGTAATGAAGATGATGAGTCCAATCCTACAGGCATCTCAGGTCTCATAATTTGATGATTAAGTGATTTTTTTTGGGAGAAAATATATTTTCTGGCTCTTCTCTCTCTTTCTCTGCATCTATGTGAGTGTACTTAAAACTGCCACTTTGGCATACAGACTCAAGAACATGAATAACATTGCAACTTTTTCTTTTTTTTTAAATTTAAGATTGGCTGGGATTCTGTGATTAGAATCTTGTCGCATTACTTGAGATTTCAAAATTATTTTCACCCCAAAGCTCATAGCCAGAGAGACAAGATCCATTAGCAGATGAATAGTTCAAAATAAGGAACTTGCTGTATTTCAGAGATGTCATGAGGACCTATGTCACGTTAATTCCCAGGCAAATACTTTGTGCAGAGTCAGGGAAACATTTTGTCTTTTCAGTTGGTTAATTTTTTTTCTACCTTACGTTATCTAATGCCTTAAAGGGCATGGACAAGTCCCCACTGTTAAAAAATTAAGGGAGCAAAGTTTATTTCAATAATGTCACCAGCATATGACATGTGCTTAATTTGTCTTTAATTCTTTTCAAGAATAAATAAACCAGATGCTTACAAAGGGGTTTAAAATTAGAAAGCAAAGAAAAGTTCACAATTAAGATTCCACTTCATAAAGGGCCAGTACATTGTATATATTTGATTTATCTCAGAGGCTAGAAGAGCTGGATTTCCAGGGGCCTAGAAGTAGGGTCAAAACAGATGATCTGTTCATCTTAATCCTGTGTAGTAGCAAAACAAAAGACTGAACAATGAACACATAATTTGAGTTTGAATACACTTCATAATCCCTCACACCACCATATGAGGTAGGTACGTATTATTGTTATCATCATTATGCAGATGAGGCAACTGAGGACTGGAGAACATAAATAACCTCCTTACAGTCAGATGGTGGCAAAGCTGTGATGCAAATCCAAGCAGCCGAAATGCAGAAACGGCAAGGTTCTTATTAGGAAAATATTTTCATGGCAAATTGCCAGCTAAAACAGACTATATTGCAACTAGAAGCCGAAATAGTGAGTGCTTTATGTAAATTCCTAACCTCTCTCTAGCTATTAACTCTTAGCAGCTAGATTTTGAAGATGTGTCCTTGATAGGCTTATTTCTGAAAGAAAAGTTTTAAGATGAAACCATAAAGAATGTCATCTCACTGGTGTTAAAGAGTCTGTACTCAGGACCACGTGTCTAAACAGACTCTTGTGTAAGCAAATGCGCACGTGCATACACACACTCAGGGTCTGCAGAGTCCTTCTGTTGATTAGAGGATGTTAAATGTCAGAGGAGTTTTATGATACTAACACTGCCTTTTCTTTTTTTCATAACATTTAACACTAGTGAAGCATACTATCTGGCCGCTAAGAGGTGTTTCAAATAAATGTTGGCTGAATGCAGACAAAGGTAGACTTATCATGTTCTAATAAACTCACTGAATCTTGACCTCTTTATTAAAAACCCAGAAGCACAAGTTTGAAGTTTTATTTATTTCTTCTAGACTAAGGGCAAGATCAAGTGGTAGAAGCAACAGTGAAATCCAGAAATCTTGTCCAATAGGCCCTGTGGCCTTTGCACCTACAGATGTGTTTGGCTATCTGTTGACAAGGGCAAAGAGTAAGCTCTCAGTTTTGCCATTCCAAAATCTTCAACAAACACTAAACTCCTATGAAGTTGAGCTCTCTGTACTGTTCCACAGTACATTTTTCCTTAGGAGTTCTTTTATTTCTGACTGCAGGGAAACTAAATAATATAGTATGACAACATAAGTAGCAGCAATTAGGAATTAAAAAGGGGAAATAC